AACAGAGAGTGTATTAGTTCAAAATATTGAATTCAGGTGGCGCATTTCGACCTTGACACTTAGAATATTTCTGAAAAATTCAAGGTTCGCACTTGACTGTAAGAGAGATACATAAAGAAAAAAAAAGTAGAGGAAGAACTGGGGAAAGAGAGGGGTAGAGGCAGATGATGAATAAGAGAGATGAGTATGATACATATTCTTTATTAAAATTCAATATTAATACAATATAGGAATAAAAAGAACTTTTATCATCAATAACTTAAATAGCCGAGCGGTTTAAGTGACCGCATACTCGGTGAAATCGCTCTGGAGGCAGGCACAAGGTGAGACGGATCGAATCCAGCTGAAGGCGACAACGACCAACTCTGAAGCAGAAAAAATGGAGCAGTGCTGGTGGCTGGCTGTTGGCGAACGCAAAGGGTCCTGAAACGAACACACGAAGTGGTGGTCAACGTGAGGTCCATGATGCGAGAGGTTACACGCAGAAGACACATTGCGGAAGATGCATGCCGAACCCAAAAATCTACCCAAAAACCACAACATGCGAAAAAAACAACACCAAAAAAGGAAAAAAAATGTGAAAAAAAGCGGAAAAAAGGGAAAAAAAGGGGGAGAGGAGGAGGAGGAGGAGGAAGGGGGAGGTGGAGAGCCTAAAAAAAACTCCTTAAGTCCCAGATCAAATTTTCTCTTTTCTGTTCAGCGTTGAAACTTTTTTATGTTTTTTAGTGTTCCCTCACACCAATTCCCAAAACCAACACTCGAATGAAATGAAGTCCACGTTGAAGTTTTCACAACGAGAAAAAATTACTGGGACTTAGTTAAAATTTTTAACTTTGTCCCAATAAAATTTTCTCGTTGTGAAATATTCAATGTGAGCCTCATTCATTCGAATGTTGGCTTTGGGATAATACAGCATGCATAAATAACTCGTCTGTCTTAATTGAAAAGGTTTCAGAAAATTTGGACTTAGAAAAAAAAATTATCTGAAAGGACTGAGAAAAAAAAATTATTCAAAAGAATTATGATCAGAAAATTTGGACTTAGAAAAAAAAATATCTGAAAGGACTTAGAAAAAAAAAAATATTCGAAAGAATTATAATCAGAAAATTTGGACTTAGAAAAAAAAATTATTCGAGAGAATTATTTAATTAATCGATGAAATGAAATGATATTAATCGAATCAAAATTGTTTATACGACTTGATAAAACTTGTGAAACCTTTACAATTAATCGAGACAAAAACAAATTTAGTTGACTTGAATAATATACAAATTATTAGAAAAAGCCATAAAAGAAATTCAATAAAACTTGTAAAATGAAATAATGAAAAATGTTCGAAAACTTGAACATTAAAAACTTCAAAACTGTATAAAGCTGATTGTTATCCTTTAGAAATTGAGTTAAATAATTTTTACAACTTGAATCGAATAATAAACGTGTAAACCAAACTATATTTTGTCTAATCATTCAAGTCAACTATTTGAAACTTTGATTGCATGTCTTGATCAAAACTGTTTTTAGCAATAAAAGAATAAAAATCTAAAATTTTGCTATGCAGCAATTATTTAAAATAAAATTACAGTTAAAGTCTTTTAAAAGCTGCATTTAATTAACAATTTGGTAAGTCGTATTAAATATTTGAAATAATTTGATCAAAACCAACAATCGTGTTATCCATAAATAAGAATATACATGCAGTCAATATCGCTACAGGGAAAACACATGATTCTTGATACTGGAAATGTCAAATACAAATACAAATATTTTTTCTGTATAATAATGAACAAGAGGTGTGACGAAAAAAAGAGTTTTTATAGAGAAATTTGTAATTTGTAACAAAATACCATCAATTTAGGAGTTACCTAAGGAAGAATGCTAGGGCCTCTTCAACAAATGAGTAATCGATGCTTACAAAAGGCTGTTATGGTTAACTAATAATTTGGTAACAAAAATTTAATATACATTTAAGAATTCTGAATTCCACACAAAATCAGTTCATAGTGTTATTTATAGAGCAAAAAAATCTCTGGTGGAATATTATTATGGAATTGTAATAATATAAATTACTTTCAATGTCTTTGATACATATGAGAAGTACAAACTTTTATCTTTTATATTGATTTAAAACATTCATAAAATTTTAATTCATAAGTAAATTGAAAAAAGTGAATCAACATGTTTTCCCCATAACAAATTAAATATGAACATAGTCTTTTATACATATGTCTGCCAAATTAATTTGAAATCTTTTATAAGCATAATAGTTGTAGTTGAATAAACAAAGAATATATTGTATTTTATGCATTAAAAATTAATAAAGTATATCTTATTAAAGAAAATGATATTGACTCAAATATAGTAGTATAAACAATATTTTCAGCAGATATATGTATACAACTATATTAATAATCCATGAGCCAGAAAATATTTCACTAAAATATATACAGACTGCTTTATAAATGATATCGGATAAGAAAGGCACAAGTTCTCAAAGCATCTTTCAATTAATTTCATTTAATATGAAAAACAAGCATTAAATATATAACTATATAAGAAATATAATTATTACAAGCATAAAAGTAGTATATAATAAAAAAACTCGGTCATTAATTGTAAACCTCTTTCGGAAAATAAATTATGAGTAATTCTTTTTATTTATTTCTATTCGAACTATAGTTTCACTAAAAATTACAAAAAATATTGTGATGAAGTAAACATTTTCAAAAATATTTGACTGCTTTAAATTCAAAGATAAGAAAAACTATGTAGTACTTTATTTCAAATTTTCAATATTTAATTTTTATGTATATATATATATATATATATATATATGATGGAATTGTTCTTGGGCATCCATCCAGTAATTAAAAACAGTTTCATTAAAGGAAAAGAAGATCAAGACATTTCGAGTCTTGATTTTACCCATCTTCAGTGCTACAATTAAATATTTCAGGGTTACAATTTAAAACTATATAAAAAATACATAATTACAGAAAATTATAAATAAAAACATGTAAAAAAGCATAAATCTAACCAATTCAATAAATTAAATAAATAAAAACATTTTCTTTCAATAAAAGCTGTTTTTAATTACTGGATGGATGCCCAAGAACTATTTTATCATATTATTTCACCATCTGAAGAAAACCTCTCGTTTCATATATATATATATATATATATATATATATATATATACATAAGAATTAAATATTGAATATTGAATATTTAAAATAAAGTACTACATATCAGATATGGTACGATAAATGCCTGTATATAATTCCAGAAATATATCCTTTGACTCGCTTTGTATAAAACATGCTTTGCACTTACGTTGTTCGATATCCTCTACGACAGCTCCCAGAACACAAATCCAATACACGAACCACCTCTAGAGCATCTGCCAGAAATCTCAAGTACTCGACACAAAATCACTACTTTAGAACCACTGCATAACTTTAGTCTTTTACAAGTCAATTTGACCTGTTGCAATTGTCCGAATAAATTCTTTGCATAATACACGACACACGACTTATATTAGAGACTTTCGTGAATTTAGAATTCGATATAAAGAGATATGTGTTGGAAGTACTCAAATATAATCTACAAAAGCACATATATAAATTATACTATTGATAATTGCATGTATATAATTAAAGGATACATTGGCGCTGTAAATGAATTAATAACACAAATAGCAATATATAATTATATTGATATATTGCATGTATATAATTAAAGGATACATTGGCGCTGTGAATGAATTGTTTAATTATAAAATTGATTCAAAATGGAGACCCTGAAAGAGATACTTATCAAAGGCACCTCCACACATATCCATTTTTTCGGCTTTTAATTAACGTTTCACGATAAATTTATTATATCAAAATGATCTACTAAATTAATTACACGTTTTGATGCATAAATTAATAAAACTAATCAAGGATTTAATTAAAAAAAACGTTAATTAACGATAGCACATGTTAACTCACGAAAATTTCTTTGACAATTGAAGCTGTCAACATGTGTCAGAATGGCTGTCACCTCTTGTGCAATTTAAAGCGCGAAATTCAAATATATGTTATTTAAATTATCAGTTTTTATAAAAGTACATAATTAGTGAATGATTTGATTTTTGCGATAAATAAATTATATCTGAATTAAACGATTATCTTAATTAAAAAAATAACTGGAACCTTGATGATTAATTGATATAGAATTTGAAATATAATATATAATTATCCAAGAAATATAAAACTAATAATAAAAATATCCCAAAAAGTAGATATTAAGGGCATTTATTTCGATTTATAAAATATACAAGTATTCATCATTAACTATATTGTTAAAGGCTCTTAGTATATACCTCTTACTTTAGATTTTGCTAGAACTTATTAACTATGATAAGAATTATACTTAATAGTCACCATCATGTGCAAAATTTTACAAGTATCGAAACAAATTCATAGACAACAAACCAAAGCATATATATATATATATATATATATATATATATGTTTCCATTCACTCATCTAAATTTATTTACAAGGTAAAAAAATAATTTTTAATACTATTTTCTAAACGCATTCATCGCCACATTTGTATTTCTTTTTTTTTTTTTTTGGGAAAACGTGTGCTCGATTTATGTAGTTTTTGCTCAAGTCGTACTACTGTCTAAGACGTACGCCGGATATATTTTATCTCATAATTTTAATTTGCATCATTTGGTGCCCACTGTTAAATAAAACTAAATAATTTATTTCGTTGACTAAGCAAGAGTTCACAGTTGAATGGCTGGCCGTCACTGTGTTATTTTATTTCGAGACTTATAGTGAGTACATGCATATGGGTTATTTAATTTGAAGTTTTATTTACATTATTATTATCTGCTAACTCACTTCAATTTATAGATCAGAAGTATTGTGTAAATTGAACTACAATCATCATGCCATCAAGAATTTTAAAGCAAAATTACTTTTCCGTGAAAGCCATTTTTTGTTTTAAATGCAAAATTTTATTTCTCTTACTTGAAAAAAAGTTACAATTTGAACAGCAAATTGACAAAGAATAGTTACAATTTGAATGAATATAATCATGCAAACAAAGACTATTCTGTGCTTCGCTGGAGCGCTGCATTGCACAAGAAGACAGCTTTGGTGACGCATCAACAATGACATTTAATAATGTATGTATAATCAACTAAATTCAATAATAATTTGTGTATTTTGCAGGTGCGGGCAGGTTTGAGTTTGCTGCTACCAGAGTCCTTCAGTTTTTATACGAACATTGTTACTGTGACGCTCTGAATGTGGTATTTATTGGAATTGCATTTGGCACGAATAGATTTATTAAGCGGTGATTTTGTTCAAGATGTTAATTGATCAATACTTCAGTTTTCACAATAACTTTTGAAATTTACAAAATCATTAAAGCATTGAATTTCATGATTCGGAGATCACTTGCACGATATGCCTTGCATGTCGGTTAATTTATTAGTTAGGTAGCATCAGTACTTTTATTATTAATAATAATAACAAAAACTAACACACTAATCTATTCAACTATTGAAAAATAATGTGGTCGTTTAAATCATTTGAGATTATCCAATGTGGATTTGACATATTACATTAAATATTAATTTTCACTGTTTTCAATTCAAGTTGATGCATTTAATAAACCAAGTGCATTTATTAAACCTCTAGTAAATTTCTACATTATATTTGTGGGCATCAAGATGAAATCACATGGAGGCCACAAGATATCGTATCAAGGAAATTGTTGAGTGTCGAATGGCCAAGTATCGAGTGAAAATTGAACACTGACTCACTTCACCGGGAATCGCTCTGAAAATAATTTAAAAAGTACGTTTTTAACGATAATCGGTATAAATGTGAACAATAAATAACTACCACGCCTTCGTACCGTTCTCGGCTGGACCAAGGAGTTAACATATAAACCGTTTGTGCAAAATAAATGAAACATTCGAAAAACTTGTCCAAAATTAAATTATCTACAACATTGTCTAACACCACAACATACTACAACAACTCGGTATACACTAAAACTCATAGCCTAACTGTATATTTTCTTTTCCTCCAGGTCGCAGCAAATACGCAATGTTAAAACTGTCGACGATTCTTCGTAATTTCCGCGTCCATCAGCGATTCAACTGAAAAGGACTTCAGGCTTTAGGCCTTTTTCATATTTTCTTTAGGACATTTTCTCAAATTTTTCATATTGTATATATATTTATATGCTTGTATCATTATATGCTTCATATTGTATCTTATAAGTATATATGCTTGTATTTTTGTTCTGGTTACACCTTTAATGTTCTGACGGAACTTCCGAGTTCCGAAAGTGCCATTATCAGCCAAAAACTTTTGCAAAAACAACTTCTTGTAAAAAAAACACTTGAAGAAGTAAATTATGCCCTTTATGCAAAAAAAATCAAATAATGTAAATGTGTATATATATGCTTGTATCAAAATGTTACTTTTATTTATTCAATCATGAGTTTGTTGTTATTGCTGCGAATTTAAATAATATTTCATGGATGTTAGAAATATTTTGTATATTTTATTTAATTAGTTTTTTATATTAGTTTTATTTAATTATTATATTTTTATAATTTGTGTGATTATTTATAAATGTTGTTTTCTTAATTAACTTCATGTAATTGATACAAACAATTCAGATAATTAAAATAGAAAAAAAAAATATGCTAAACAAAACTACTGCTAAAATGTTGATACTAAAAACTATGTTACCAGTCTATATAAATATATGTTCATGCTCTGTGTTCAATTTTTGATGTAAATATTTTTAAAATATATCAATAGTCTGTGCTGCCTGGATCTTGGTTGAACAAGTTTCTTTATAATAATAATAAATGTACAATCATAAATTTAAATAGATATAAAGTTGTAGTGTGTTTATTGTGAAAATATGATTTAGGTAAGTATAAAATAATGTTTTATATTTTAATTTTAAGGCAAAGTGGTTCATGTTTATGTATTTCTAAATATTTTGGCAAACTGTTTGGCATAATTCTAAACAAATATTTGTTTCAACACATTATGATATTCATTCAAGTCCAAAACAATGATTAATACATGAATTTGTTACTAGTGAATTAGATTGTTTAAGGTTAAACGTCAAACGTCAAAATTGATAGTTGTTTTCGGGTTGAAAATGTCTGTTGTGACAGGTTTATTTCCAAATGTGTTAATTATTAAATATTTTATTTGAGAATAAAACCACAAAATCTTGTTTTAATCCGTGGATTAAATTAATCAAGAAGAACAGGTTGCATTTAGTTTATTTTTTCTTACTTTTTCAAAACTGCTCAAAGTCAGAAATATTTCAAAAGAGGAAAATACTTTTTTTCATTGTTCAAAGAAAAGGTGTGTTTTTTATACAAGGAAATACGTTTTTGAATGTTTTCTTTGAAAACAAATATTTGTGTATTAATTGTCGTGTTGATAATATTGATTAAAAGTGCAGTTGTTATCAATATTTCAATACTTACATCATAAAAGGGTCAAAATTTTTAAATGCTCTTTGTAAGTAATGTTTTTTCTTTTGAATCATATGTACCATTTTCAATTAAATTAATTAATTAATTCAATTGATAAAATAAAAATTATTTGTTTAACAAATTTGCGCAAAATTAAATTACCAACATTTTTTTAAATATTGTAATACTTAAAAATATCATTCAAAAGCAGAATAATGATTTTAGAGACCTAACAGTATAATAATTATGCTGTATAAGATTTATGAATGATTAACCGTATTGAATTCATGGACTATCAAACAAATATTACTCAATTGCAATCAATATGCGAGTTTGGGATATTTGTTTACATTTTGTCAAATATTTTGGAAATTTTATTCTGAACACTTTTAAATGTTTATTTTGGTATAAACTAGATAAAATTTGCTAGAATTTAATGTATATTGTTATATTCACTTTTATATTAAAATTTTGGATAATTTGTAGTTAAAGCGCAGATTTGAGTTTGATAATTGACTATAGGTGGATTTTGGACGTTTTTTACATTTTGTGAAATAACTTTAAAACTATGTTCAGAACATGTTTATTTGTTTATACTAGTATAAACTAGATGAAATTTACTAACTAAGATATACTTGCATATCAAAATTCTGAACGATTTTCAGTTGAAGCGCAAATTTAAACGTAATATGTAGATTTGGGACTTTTTTTTTACTTTTCTTCAAATAACTTTATCAAATAAAAAACTATATCAAATTTACTAGAATTTGGTACAAACTAGTATCAAACAACTTGAAAATTTTGTTCTAGGCATTTTAATTTATTTATATAAGTAAAAAATAGATAAAATTTAGATTTATAAATCATAAATAATATTAAAACCATAGACTGCTATTCATACTTTTGTTAAAACTACAGTGATGATATCAAATTATTTGATTATAATAAATGATTTATTTGGAGTTGAATCCATGAATACTATCCATGGATTGTTTTAAGAGCTTTTTTTTAAACTTTAAAAATGATATCAAGTTATTCGATTAACATAAATGATTTACCTACAAATTATTCAAATGTTTTTATTTTTTCACTAAGTTTTTGTGGTTTTCAAATAAAATATTCGAAGCTTACTTATTGTTACTAGTCTGGTATTGAGTAACAAATAATCTTATTTTAAATGTATATCCTTAGAATATATATTTATTCTTATTACAGGTACTTATGCACTTATAGGAACAGGAAACATAAAATCTGGGTCTCCCCAGGTATACTAAAAGAAATTTATCATTAAGAACTTATTAGACAAAATTTTTGGATGATTTTTTATTACACCAAGGACAAAATTATCCTATTTGATGAGCTTTCAGGGCGTTAACCACTGGAAAACAACAAAAACTTTGGTTGCAACATCGGAATTTTAGCAAAAAAATAGATTTGTTTTCGCTATTTTGGAAATGTTTTGACTGCTTCCAAAAAAATTTTCGGACGCTGATTTCAAAAATGCTATCTATTTTTGGATAAACACACATACACCCCGCGAAAAATCGAAATCTTTGGTTGCAAAATCGATTTTTTTTTAAAAAAAAAAACGGTTTTTGTTGCGATTTTCAAAACGTTTTGATTGGTTTTGATTGATTTTGGGGCGCTGATTTCGAAAATATTATCCGTTTTTGGATAAATCCACATACACCCCCCGAAAAATCGAAATCTTTGGTTGCAAAATCGATTTTTCTTTATAAAAAATCGGCTTTCTTTGCGATTTTCAAAATGTTTTGATTGGTTTTGATTGATTTTGGGACGCTGATTTCGAAAATATTATCCGTTTTTGGATAAATCCACATACACCCCCCGAAAAATCGAAATCTTTGGTTGCAAAATCGATTTTTCTTTTAAAAAAATCGGCTTTCTTCGCGATTTTCAAAATGTTTTGATTGATTTTGGGACGCTGATTTCGAAAATATTATCCGTTTTTGGATAAATCCACATACACCCCCCGAAAAATCGAAATCTTTGGTTGCAAAATCGATTTTTCTTTAAAAAAAACGGCTTTCTTCGCGATTTTCAAAATGTTTTGATTGGTTTTGATTGATTTTGGGACGCTGATTTCGAAAATATTATCCGTTTTTGGATAAATCCACATACACCCCCCGAAAAATCGGAATCTTTGGTTGCAAAATCAAAATTTTACTAATGAAATGAAAACTTTTTTTCGCGATTTTCAAAATGTTTTGACCGATTCTGATAGCTTTTGAGGCGCTGATACCGAATATTGATTCAGTTTTCGGGAAAAAAAATTCTTCTGCCCCTGTGACTAATTTGAAGTTTGAAAAATTGCCAACTTTGAAGCTGATTTTAACTATGAAGACGATGATAAATTTGTAATTTTTTTGGTTTGGTATAAATATTGTACTTTAGTCTACACAAAGCATTAATTAAAATTATTAATTTCATTCATTAAGGGCCTTAAAATTGCATTTGAATGTCACGATTTTGGCCAATTTTGGCTGCTCCTGATAGACTGTTTTTTTATCGGAAAAATAATAAGATTTTTAAATTACACCAAAGTAGGTTTGGTTTACTGTTAACCAGGCGTAAATATAAATTTATTAAAAATTATCCTCCTACTATTTCTTATCTTTTATATATATATATATATATATATATATATATACACTCGTATATATATTATGTCGATTTTTGTAATACAGACACTCAATAAATTTAATTATTTATCTATATGCCTTATTTATTTACACAGAAAAATTATTGGTTCTAAATTTTTTTTCAGACAAATGGGGTTCGAACTCGCGAACCTCGAATTGTTATTCTGGCATAAACCGTATCTTTACGACCTCAGCCATTCGCACATTTGACACACAACATTTTTAGGAAGCTTATATCTTTCATTTTAAAAATAACACTTTATATTATTACAAATAGCTGAGGGTTCTGTATAACCAATTAGCCGAGATCGTTAAGTGACCACTGCGGTTGCTCAGAGTGTCTCGGTTCAATTCCCCAAGATGCTTGAAAATTCGAATGTATAGTTTTTCATAAATATCAAATATTAGTTCAAAATATTAAATTCAGGTGTCGCATTTCGACCTTGACACTTAGAATATTTCTGAAAAATTCAAGGTTCGCACTTGACTGTAAGAGAGATACATAAAGAGAGAAAAAAAAAAAGTAGAGGAAGAACTGGGGAAAGAGAGGGGTAGAGGCAGATGATGAATAAGAGAGATGAGTATGATACATATTCTTTATTAAAATTCAATATTAATACAATATAGGAATAAAAATAACTTTTATCATCAATAACTTAAATAGCCGAGCGGTTTAAGTGACCGCATACTCGGTGAAATCTCCCTGGAGTCAGGCACATGGTAAGACGGATCGAGTCCAGCTGAAGGCGACGACGAGCAACTCTGAAGCAGAAAAAATGGAGCAGTGCTGGTGGCTGGCTGTTGGCGAGCGCAAAGGGTCCTGAAACGTACACACGAAGTGATGGTCAACCTGAGGTTCATGATGCGAGAGGTTACACGCAGAGAGGACACATTGCGGAAGATGCATGCCGAACCCAAGAATCTACCCAAAAACCACAACATGCGAAAAAAACACCAAAAAAGAAAAAAAAATGTGAAAAAAAGCGGAAAAAAGGGAAAAAAAGGGGGAGGAGGAGGAGGAGGAGGAGGAAGGGGGAGGTGGAGAGCCTAAAAAAAACCCCTTAAGTCCCAGATCAATTTTTCTCTTTTCTGTTCAGCGTTGAAACTTTTTTATGTTTTTTAGTGTTCCCTCACACCAATTCCCAAAACCAACACTCGAATGAAATGAAGTCCACGTTGAAGTTT